CCCCTCGAGGATGCCGTCAAAGACCCTGTATATGGCGTGGGCGTGAAGTGGCGCTTCTACGTCCCACCCAGCAGGCGGCTGGACAGCTGGCCTGGCGCTTTTGCGGAAATGGTAATATTTGGCAAGTTCATGTACAAGTGGCAGGACCTTGAGGTCGTAGTCTACGTCGCCGATGGCCGCGATGGAGTGTCACCATACCCTACTGTAAGGAATCAGTACATCCTCACCAGCAACGAACACAAGCTCGACGAGCTGTTAAAGCAATGTGCTATCTGGGCTCAGCAACTGCATAATGAAGTCTGGGTGTTTGATCAGGGATACTGGCAGAAGAGTGCTGAGCTGTACAACTCAGTGCAGAAGGCAAGCTGGGAAGATGTCATTCTTGACGAAGATATGAAGAAGGCCCTCATTTCTGACGTGGAGAACTTCTTCGATGGGCGCAAGACATACGAGAACCTGAAGGTGCCCTGGAAGCGCGGTGTCATCTACTACGGTCCGCCTGGAAACGGTAAAACCATTAGTATCAAGGCGATGATGAACATGCTCTACCAGCGCGGCAAAGAAGGCGACGACCGACTTGCCGTCCCCACCCTCTACGTGCGCACGCTCTTCTCCTTTGGCGGACCAGAGTACTCGCTACGATCCATCTTCGCAAAGGCCCGTCAGGAAGCACCGTGCTACCTTGTTTTTGAAGATCTCGACTCTATCGTCAGCGACAACGTGCGCTCATACTTCCTCAACGAAGTCGATGGGCTCAAGTCTAACGACGGCATCCTTATGGTCGGCTCAACGAACCACCTCGACCGTCTCGACCCTGGCATCGCCAAGCGCCCGAGCCGCTTCGATCGCAAATACTACTTCCCAGACCCAGACTTTGACCAGCGTGTCCAATACGCCAAGTTCTGGCAAGGCAAGCTCAAGAGCAACAAGGACCTCGATTTCCCCGACAAGTTGTGCAGCAAGATTGCTGAAATCACCAACAAATTCTCTTTCGCCTACATGCAAGAAGCTTTCGTTGCTACACTCCTTGCGATTGCCGTCCGCAGTGGCACCGACGGCTTCACCGCCATGCGCGAGTCGCACCGCTGGGCGGGTCCAGAGGATCCTATGGTACACGTGGACAAGCAGGCGCGACGCGACCATATACTCAAGTCTGGAGGCGGCGAAGATCCGGTCTTTGAGAAGTTGGAGTTGTGGGTCGAGATCCAGAAACAAGTCAAGATTCTGAAGGAGGAGATGGATGAGAAGCGCAGCACCGACAACTTTTCGAAATCGTTTGACTTGCCTAGCAGGCCTAGGGTAGGTATGGACAACTTGACCAAGTACAGGGACGAGCTTGATGCGTTGCTGCATGGCCGGCATTCCGAGCTGAAAGAGTTGAGTGCGAGTGCAAGGTCGATAGCGGTTGCGACGGGTCAGTTTTAGGTGGACTGTGTGAGTGATACAGTCGCTTGGGTATGGCCTGCCAATATGGTACCCATTGATTATTTGGTTAGGTATGGTTTCATGCTATTTGTGCTTTGGTTCTTGAGCGTACACTGCTGCAAGGCTGGCATGAGTGCCACTCGTGCGCCGAAAGTGGAGGAGGTTAGGATGGAACCAGCTGGGTGGAAACAGCGGATAGACTTGCTACGGCAGGCAAGGCTTTGAGCAGTGTCGTCGTGCCCCAAGGTGATGTCCATAGCGGAGCATGGTTTGTCTCATCCATAGTATGAGTATGTTCCAATCCTTCCAATAGCACGAGTATAGCTCATCATCGCTCATGTTCAAAGAATATTGTGGCGACTATCAGGACTGAGGGAATTTAATTGCAATGTCGAACCAATATGTATGACTCCATACCCATCCTCATTGCCCGAACCTTTGATCTTCCTGCAAGCCGACCATCTCATAACACCGCAAACGCACTGCAATACGATACACTACTATCCTTGACATCCTCCACCAATCCACTCCTCTCATACCTCAAAAACTTGAACCGTCCCTTCTCACCCTCTGATCCCTCCGCCTTCTCCACCGCCGCCATAAACACCCCAATCGGATGCCTCCCACACACCGTATTCCCCGTCTCTTTCAACTGTTCCAGAAACGCCTCATGACTCCCACTCTCGACCGCATCCATGCTCTCCTGGTCCACGGCCGCAATGCTCTCATGTATAGCCCAGTCCTTATCGACGCTGGAGCTTGAGCGTAGTGATGTTGCGGAAGCGCCGTCACGGGATTGGTAGTATGTGTACCGGAAGCGCGAGCCCCAGTGGCAGAAGTCGGAGCTTATGACGAAGATGTTGGACGGGTCGGAGAGGTAGGGTGCGAGAAGGGAGCCGTAGTGCGATTCGGTGGAGGGGTCGGTGTTGCCGATCATTAAGGGGACAAGGGGAACGGAGGAGGGGTTCGATTGAAAGGCTGTGTTTTTGCTGCCTTGGGATTAGTCGTGTGTGTAGGTAGAGGGCAATGGGCGGTGTACAGCGAGAGCATCTTGTAGATGTATGGAAGGTGCATTTCTAGACTATGCTCGTCTTCGTCAACGCTTCGGGACATGGTTTGGAGGCTCCATTCTTGCTTGATGCTGTTCACGAGGGCAGTGTCGACGATGAGGTCGCCGAGGGGAGTGCCGTATCTGTCGCAGCCTGTTGTGGCCGCGCCAGTGAGGTAGTAGTGATGTGATGGGCCGAGAAGGAAGACGCGCTTGCTGTAAGGCAGTCAGAAAGAGACACATCTCTCTGTCGTTGGTAACGACGTACGCATGCGCCCAGTCAGCGCTCTTGTAGGCCCATGCAGCAGCAGGCCCGGAGTATGAGTATCCGGCGTGCCTGCGTGTTCATGAGCCTGAATCGTGTCCACTCAGTTTCCCAAAGCTCACGGTGCGATTATAGCTCGGGCACTTGGCGTGGGTATCGATATGTCGCCCTGCTGTGATGATGTAGAGCCAATGGGGGTGGACGAGCTGGGTACGGCTTCTAGCCAGCCGTTCAGCTGCTGCGAGAGTAGTCGACCATTATCTGTGTACCATGAGCCGGCATGGCTAGGCCTGCGAGTGGCCATCTTGTCTGATGGGCCTCGGTGACGAGAGAAGAGACGTTTGAAGGGTGGAATGGTGACGGTGTGTTGTTGGCGTATGGTGGTGTCTATGCTCGCGGGGTAGCTTCATGTACTGGCGGGGAAGACTGCAGTAGACCTGTGCGACAAGATGGACTATCATGCAACTTCCTACCCCATGAATATGCTGCGTTTTTCCTGACAAACCGACCGATGTTGCGCGTGTCTGCCTTCTGATAATTCTGCTTCATGCCTTGACCCGACTTTACTGATCATGTCGCCTACCGGCTGGGCCTGGCATTTGTTAATCTACAATTGAACCACACCACACCACGTTGCTACGTTCTGCGCAACATGTATAGACAGAGTGGAGAGAGTTGTAGGCTAAGTCAGTGTGAGTGCGATCGATGGCGATGCGGTTGCTGAAGCCAAGCCCCTCGTCGCGGTCGCGAACGGTCGACACGCGACGCGCCTGCCAGCCATCTGCACCATTACGCACTTCCATCTCATCTCGACCTTCCACGATTCACCACCCCACAACGACCACCCATAAGACAACCCGCGTCAAGTACTATTATACACCTCCAACCACAGCATCGATCAACAGCAACCATGGGCTTCAAGCGCAAGCGATCCGTCGACGACTCGCCACTCTCCATCTCTAGCTACGGCGCTGTATCGACACCCGAGGCTCAGTCACCCACCCCGTTTCCTCAGGGCTTCGATGGCGCCATGGACATGGACATGGACACCGCATCACGACACAACGGTTGGGATTTTGCGAGTGCAAGTCGCGTAAAGAGCGGTGACTGGGGAAACCGGACGCGTAAAAGGTTCCGCGACAATCGGCCGGATGAGCGCGCCATACACGGTAAGTCCCCTGCTAGGAGCCATTTGGACAAGAGTGTGTACTGATGGTGCTCAGAAAGCACCCTGCACAAGCTCTTCGCAGCGCAACGCAATCACCCTGACGCCTCGCCTGTGCCCTCCGAACCCGTGCCATTTCAACTGCCAGCTACAACAACCTCGAAACCACAGAAGTCGACATTGCATTCCTTCTGGAAACAACTACCCGCACCGCCTGTACAACCCATCTTCTCGATGCCCTCGCAAGTACAACAACCTGACTCTCAGCTACCTCGTTGTGAGGACTGCGACACGGCACTCCGAAGCGTCAACGACAGCATGGATGTTGATATGGATATGGACATGGGCGGCGCTGTCGAGAGCAACCCTTTCGCGTGTAGCGATTGTGGGAAGAACGTGTGCGGGACTTGCGCGGTTGTGTCGACGAAACGGCACTGCCTGCAATGCGCAACAAGTTCCAGGAACTCGAGGCGATGGTGGTGACTTCAATTGCCCCTACCTACGTAAGCAGGTCTACCATGATGCTTCCTTGAGATTTGAGATGGCGTTTAGATTCCATGCGGCTTCCTTCTATGATATCCAGCATTCTGCGTGCGTTGAGCGTGACGTTAGGAGACATGTTAACAACGCGAAGGCACAGTCCTCAATTGTATCTCAGTCCAGGCTCTTTCAGTTGTGGACATACTAGGTACGCTTCACAGAGCAATACATCCTTCAAATTCAAGCAGTGTCTGTACATCATTCCTATACATTCAGTGGTATCAGCACTCTTGTAGTTTCAATTCATTGAATACCGGAGACCACTGCCTTGACTTTGATTCTTCCGCCCTTGGCTGTTTCACGTCGTGACGGTGATATGCCTCTTCAACAACAGAGCCAGTATCTATTAGGATGTAGATGTGCTTCGTTGCTGTTGCGCTGCTTGTATAACTTATAGCGGAGTAATACATATTAAGTTATTGAGCACTGTCTGAAATATCTCAGACAAGTTTTATCAAGGAAATTGCATGTCAGACCAACAAAATGATGGCATACCCAACTTTTGTCGCAAGCCCATGTGTGCAAAAAGACAAAAATAAAGCAAAAAGAATGATGCATACGAGCGGGGAGGATCGAACTCCCGACCTTCTGCGCTTTGCATTGTAATGTAAAGCAGACATCATAACCACTAGACTACGCTCGCTGGAAGAATTGACGATCGTTGAAATTAGCCAGAATATAGTGTAGCCAATAGTGGGGGGTGTATGAGTGAGCCTCGAAGCGGAGAAACGTGGCTCAATGGTCGTTGGGACCCATCGTTTTTCCGCAAGTTTAGCGACCTCGCGCCAGTGGAGCGAGACACAAGCGGGGTCATGAGCACTCTTATCGACCGCTGCAGAATGCTTTGCTGATTCGAAGATATAGTCGGAATACTGCTGGGGATGTACATTGCCTATTAGTGAGCGCCATGTGAATTGAGGAAATCAAGAACTGGCGACAGAAGTATGTTGTAGTATGAGAGTTAAGTGCTAAAAGTTAACGATGATACCCCTGATGTTTCGCGACTATGTCTCCGCGACGGCCACAGCAGACGTCGATAGGTGACTTGGCTTCGAACATCCACAATTGGGAACCAGGCCTGAAGGTGTCAATGATGTTTCCACAAACACAATCTGTCGCCGCATACAGGACCAAGAAGTCTACATAGCCTGTGATTGTTCTGTTTTACCTTCGCAACTTTATTTGGACTGCAACGCAGCACCGCCCAGTCTCACCAGTCATAACCTTAACTCCGATATCCGCCCCAAACCTCAGGCCCCCATCCCAATCTCACCAACCCTCTTCACCCACACCCACCGCCGCGATGTCTCACGCGCTCTTCACCAAAACACCGGCCCTGCGCAGCGCAGCACGGCAAGTCGCCCAAACCACCCGCGCATCCTACCACTCCACCAGCGCGCCCAAAATGCCATCCGGCTCACAACACCTCCGCACCCTAATCCGCCAAACCACTCTCCGCGCAAGCACAACCACACTCCAGCGCTCCTCGTACCCCGTCTCACAAGTACAATCCTTCTACACACAGAATGAGCACGTACGCACCCGCAGCCCGTCCCCGCCGCCGCGCTATGAGACGCGCAACGTCACTATCAAAGCGCCCACAGGCCAATGGACGCGCTTCGCAACCTCACACACACTTTCGTCTGTGCGCACATTCACATCCTCGCCAAAAATACAATGGCCCGCAGAGGCCACAGCATCAGCAGCTCTGAGTCCCGAGACGCAAAAGCGCGTCGAGTCCATCATCGAAGAAATCAGCGACATGTACGGCACGGCGAAAGACGAGTTTGAAATCGCGAGCGAAGAGAGCGAGAAGAATAGCACGTATGCGGCCGACGATCGCGCGGCGGCGCGAGAGGAGCTAGATAAATTGTTGGGGTATTACAAGGGTGTTGTGGATGGTGGGCAGGAGGGGAAGGATGTTGCTGAGGAAGTGAGAAGGAGGGTTGGGCAGAGGATTAGGGAGTTGGAGGCAGGGATTGTGAGGATGGAGGAGGAGGCTTTGCATGGAGACTAAGCTTCGTAATGATCGATTGGGGGAGTAAGTGGCGTTCGTGGTGTCTGAGACATTTCATTTGTTGTAAAATATTCACCAGAGTATCCAGAGATAACCGGGCTCTGGATGACGTGGGGCGCACAGCGTTGCGCGAGCGCACACATACCGCCGTGTGTCATATCGAGCGACTGTATAGTACGATATGTCAACAATAATCAACATTCACATCACACATGTGCTCTCCAGAGAGATCGAGATTAAATTCATTTCCATTTCAATGCTATCACACATGTGCGCAGACGCCACCCAATGCAATGCAATGCTCCACTCAAATTCCTCGAAATGATACCCTCATTGAAACCGACATGTCTCAAGTTTGCCTCGGCTTCGGCATCGAACTGTGCTTCACACTCCATCCCTGCATCGTCCTCCTCGTTCCCAGCGTCTTCCTCTGTGCTTGCACCTGACTCATCGATGTGGTATGAAATGTTGACGCAGTCCTGAACCCAGATGACGTGGTGATAGAGGAAGACTGCCTCACTGGACTATGCGGCTCTTCTGGCAGATCGTCTTGGTCCGGCCTGACGGTTGAGCTCGATAGCAAGACGTATCTCGTGCTTTCCAGCTCTGGCGCTGTGTCGCTGCGTTTCGGTTTACTTGGCATCGGCCGGTTGTTCAGCCTATAGTTCGGTAGTGATAGCGGCTGGAAAGATCTAGAGGGCTGTGGGACGTTGGAGATGTCGTGAAGCGGCGTAGTGCTCAATGTTGAGGATTGTGAGCGCTGTAATGATGGTATTGCTGCCGATGTCGGCATCTCTGCCTGTTCTGTAGGTGTGCTGGTCGATATTTTGGCGAAGAAGTTGGTGATAGCCCCTTGCCCAACTGCTCGTGGCTTAACCTTCTTTGCTTGCGCTGGCTTCATTGCCGCTTTCCTGTCATCATTATACGCCGCTTGACCGGCTTCTGCCGTTGGTGCGGCAGCAAGCATACGTATCCGCTCTGCCTCTTGTTGCATGGCCTGCAGATCTCCAAGATCTCGGGCTGTGGTAAATCCAGGCTTGACACCATGCATTGTTGTAGACGCCACAGAGAATCCAGACGTCCTATTCATCGTAAACGCAACAGGGCCATGGGTGACTGTGTTCGGTTCCTCCAACTTGCGACGCTTGTAAGTCTGCTGGGGTCCGTTGCTGCTGGGGCCAGAGCCATTGAATCTGTCGTCCCAAGACGCGCCCCACATTGGATCGTCGATCTCCTCTCTTGTCGCTGGGTATTGATCATCCTCTAATCTTTCGAGTGCGGCTCGGGCAACGTTGATCTGATCGGTCGTTGGACAAGGTTTTCGTAGAATTCGTGCTAGATCTGGAATCGTTGACCGCTTGAAGGCGAGATCTGGCCCGCGCTCGCTGAAGTGCTTCAACACAGCCTTCTCCGAGATAAATCTCGAAAGCGTCGTCTTCTCCTGCCCCGACTGCTTGACAGGGCAGCTGAGATAAAGCAAGCCCTGCGCACGCGTCATGCCGACATATAGCAGTCGTCTCTCCTCGTCATGGTCTTCTGCCCGCGAATGAGGGATGGAACCGTCGTACACCGCAGGCATGAAGACTATAGGCCACTCCAACCCCTTGGCCGCGTGTATAGTGGAGATTGTTATCTGCTCAGCATTACCGCCGTCTTGATCCGCGACGCTCGAGAGGGTGACATTCGCGAGGAATTTGGATAGTATGTCAGCGGCTGTGTCCTGCCGTTGTTCAATACCCTCTACGACTGGCAGCGCGTCATCAGTAATCTCCTCTCCACTTGCCATCGCTGTAGCCATTTGTGTCGCTTGAGAGACCAGCTCTTCCACGTTTGCCCATCGGTCCTGCCAGTTGTCCTTGTGAGTCTGTTTTAGATACGTCTCAAAGGCGATTCGTTTCAAGATGTGCCAGATGAGATCGAACAGATTACAATGATCCCCCTCGGTTGAAATCAGCTTCTCACGGGCTGTAAGAATGACGTTCACAAACTGCTCCATGCCCTTCTGTGCCTGTGAAGAGACCTTGCTCTGGGGTCTCGTTCTGCCCTGTGCGATATCAAGGACCAACTTCCACAGCGTGATCTTTCTGGTCTCGGCCTCTTCAAGTAGGGCTTTGACCGTGGTGTCGCCAACCTTGCGAGATGGAAGATTGATGACACGGGCAACCGCGTCATTGTGTTCTGTCTGACTGACGACTCGAAGGTAGTCCAGAATGATCCTTATTTCCGCGCGTTCGAAGAACTTAGTACCCGCGACCATGCGATAAGGCATTCCCGCTTGTCCTAGGGCTCGCTCAATCTGAAGAGAAAGGTTACTGGAACGTAGCAAGATCGCATAGTCGTTGTAGCTGAGCAGGCCAGCCGCGAGCGTCTTCACTCTATGGATTTCCTCGACGATCCATTTTGCTTCTACTTGTGCTGAGACAAGGTGACGAAGCGTCGGTGGTTCACCGGTCCCGTGGGTGGCGATTAGTGCTTTCTGTGGCCGACTTTCATCCTGCTCAATGACTGCCAATGCTGAATTGAGAATGCAGCCAGAAGATCGATAATTGTTCTCCAGGTTGATGACGATGGACTCTGGAAATTCGTCGCGCATGCGGAAAAGGTTCTTAATCTCAGCTGAACGAAAACTGTATATGCTCTGATCGGGATCGCCAACAATGGTGATTCGTCTTGTGCTCTGGGCCATGAGCTTCATCAGCTCATATTGGATGTTATTGGTGTCTTGATACTCATCGATGAGCACAGCCTGGATAGTGGATACACACGAAGGGCTTTTCTTGAGCAGCTCCACGCATCGCACAAGCAGATCGTCGTAGTCGAGGAGGTTCGACGCTTTCAAGTGTTCCTCATATGAAGAATATACCATAGCAAATTCATTGTCGTTGACATTCTTCGTTGTTGCTTTGAAGCTGTCCGCGGACACGCCCTTGGCTTTCAACGTTGATATCCTCGAGCGGGCATGGCCAGGCTCAACCGTGTATTGGTACCGGGTAACAATTCGTTTCAGTATAGCTTTACTGTCGTTGGTATCCGCAATTCCGAAGTTTTTGTCAATCCCAATCTCTTGTCCATAGCGAGAAAGGAAGCGTCGCGCGACTGAATGAAAAGTGCCCAGAATCAGCTTAGCTTCCAGCTTGTCGCCAACGAAACCCTTGATACGCTCTTTCATCTCCCTCGCCGCCTTGATCGTGAAGGTGCACACAATGATGTTCCATGGCTGCAGGCGCTCATGAACGACATGGTACGCGACGCGTGCTGTTAGTGTTTTGGTCTTCCCAGATCCTGGAGGCGCGAGGACCTGGACGACGCTGGCGGGACTCGTAACTGCGCTGCGTTGTGCGTCGTTCAGACCCTCGAGCAGAGCTTCCATCAGTGTCGTTGAGGCGCGTTACTTCCCATGGTGGGGAATGACGGAAAAGTGGGTGGCGCATGAGGCACTTAGGCCAAAACGCGAAAGCACGTGATGATAAGATAAGGTGACAGAGTGAAACCGCAACCAAACCACCGGCACTCCAGCTCCCCAAAAAACGCGATTCGAAGCCGACAACTCTCGCAAGGCTCATTCGGAAATGTGATATCAGGTTCCAATCCCATTTCGCGTGTTGCTTTCCATATGATTCCATACC